AATGGAATATTATGCAGCCATTAGAAATGACAAAATAATGGCATTTGCAGGGAAATGGATGGAGCTAGAAGGAATCATGTTGAGCAAGGTAAGCCAAGAGCAAAGAGACAAATGGTACATGGTCTCCCTGGTAAGTGGATGCTAAATCCAAAATGTTAGGTGATACGACAAAATTAACAGGACTTAAGAAACAAAGAACTCCCACTCATCTGGTCAAACCACTACTAAATATTCCCATGCTGCTGATCACATGTATGGTGTCCATGTGTACACCGTTATATGTTATAGACTGTGATAGACAATTTGCTCCAGGAAAGTTAGAATGAACTTGTGACTTTAAATGAGCATCATTATTCCACAATACTGTGAAATTTGGGAAATTATGTAATCACTTAATCACAATTTAAAAAAAAAGAACCTCAGGGAAGATAGGGAGGGAAGGGTTGGCAGGGGGAAAACAATGGAGGGGTAACAATGCTCAATAGGAAGTGTACTCATTACCTTGCTTTTGCTCATGTAACTGTAACCCTCTGTATAGTATCTTTACAATAAAAAATTTAAAAAAATACACATAGGGCTCAAAAAATTACCCCCCCCTACAACAAATCTTCAAAGAAACAACCACCCCCATTAATAACTTGGCTAAAGAATTAAAGACTTCTCTGGAGAGGAAATAAGAATAGCCAAGAGGGGCTGGGAAGGTGGCTCAGTGGTAGAGCGCTTGCCTTGCATGCCTGAGGCCCTGGGTTCGATTTCTCAGCACCACATAAGCAAAAAGAAAAAAGCCGGAAGTGGCGCTGTGGCTCTCAAGTGGTAGAGCACTAGCCTTGAGCTGAAGAGCTGAGGGACAGCGCCCAGGCCCAGAGTTCAGGCCCCATGACCGGACCCTAAAAAAATAAAAAAAAGAATAGCCAAGAGTTATATGAAGAAATGTTCAACATCTCCAGCCAGAAAAGAAATGCAAATCAAAACTACATTGAGATTTCACCTCACCCCAGTTAGAATGGCCATTATCAAGAAAACAAATAATAACAGATGCTGATGGGGATATGGTCAAAATGGAAAGCTACTACACTGTTGGTGGGATTGTAAACTGGTTTAACCACTTTGAAAAGCAGTATGGAGGTTCCTCAAAAGATTAAACATAATAAGTGGTGTTGTGGCTCAAGTGGTAGAGCACTCACCTTGAGCTAAAGAGCTCAGGGACAGTGCCCAGGCCCAGAGCTCAAGACCCATGACTGACAAAAAAAAAGACTAAACATAGGGCTTGTCTATGTTCCAGCAATCTCACTCATGAACATTTATCCAAATGATCACAAACAAGACCACACTAAAGCTACCAGCACACTTATGTTCATTGAAGAATTATTTACCATAGCTAATGTACAAGTCAGTTATGTGGAAAAACAAACTTTACAACTTTGAGGAGGAGAGGGTTGGGTAGGGGAGATGGAGGAAGTATGGGAAGGGATGGGAAGGGCAACAAAGAGGAAACAATGCTTGATGAGAAATGTACTCGTAACTCCTCTGTACGGTATTCTCACAATAAAAAAGAAAAAGAAAAAAAAATATATGGAACCCACCCAGATGCTTCTCAGGAAATGGAAAGATTTGGAAAAATCATATTGTGAAGTAAGCCAGACCCTAGGAAACATAGGCCCCATGATTTCCATAATTTTTAATAATTAGTGTGTGTCTAAGATAGTCCTAGCAGAGGATCACAATAGCTCAATAGCTGTGTACATTTGACCATATAAAATGATGCAAATTGAACTCCAATAAATGGAAACAAGAGGGTTTTTTAAAATTTAAAAATGTACTGTGTGGGGGCTGGGAAAGTGGCTCAGTGGTAGTACCTTCCTTGTATGCATGAGGCCCTGGGTTCAATTCCTCTGCACCACATAAGCAGAAAAAGCCAGAAGTGGCACAGTGGCTCAAGTGGTAGAGTGCTAGCCTTGAGCCTTGAGCTGAGAGATAGTGCCCAGGCCCAGAGTTCAAGCCCCACAACAGACCAAAATAAATAAATAAATTTACTGTGTGAAGTTATTTCTTTTTTCATTCTTTGTTTCCCTTTGTTTTCTCCCTGCTGTCATTGCTTTTTTTTTATTTTAGTACCCTGTGTCTTGTATATATGTTTATCTGGTTTGGAAGGGAGGGGGAATAACAAAATGATGAGACAAAGGACAAAGGTTGAACCAATGCAACAGTGATACTCACAAGACACCAAGTTAGAAATGAACTTTACAACTTGGGGGGAGGGGAGTAAAATGGAAGGGAAAGTGGAGAACACCAGGGAGGGGGGTTAACAATATTAGACAAGAAATGTACTCATTAGCTTACTAATGTAACTGTAACCCCTCTGTACATCACCTTTACAATGGGTGGAGATGGGAGGGAGAGAATGAAGGAACAGCTGATACTAAGCAAAAGGAAAGAAATGTACTTATCATCTGATGTATGTATGGGTAACCCCACTGTATATCACCTCTAAAACAGCAATAACAAAATAAAAAAATAAAAAATAAGCCCAGTTTCCAGAAAAAATTGCTGTGTTTCTTCCATTGATTAAGCACATGGGTTTATATAAAAGAGACCTTTAACCCAAAGTACAAAGATCTACTTTGATTTCTTCTAACAGTTTACTACTTTTAGATTTTACAATTTTAACTAAAACTGAATTTGCAAATTTGTGTATAGTACTAGTGTATAGTACAAGTATATACACTAGTATATATACAGTATATATATAGTACTAGTATATATATAGTACTAGTATATATAGTATATATATAGTACTAGTATATATATATAGTACTAGTAAGTTTATATTATTTTAAGTACTTATACAAGTAGTTATATTTTAAGTAGTTATACAAGTAGTTATATACCCCTTTGTGTAACTACTTAACAACCTATCAGTTTGTGAGTAAAAATGCAACTTGATCAATATTACCCTTTGTATAACTACTTGTAACTTTGTATAACTACTTATAACTATTTTTAACAACTATCAGTTTATTAGTAAAATGAACCTTGATCAATATTACTCTTCCATCATTCACCCTCACCTCTCCCAATCCCATTCATCCTCTCAAGTAAGCTGGTTCTGTTTTCATATATGATCATTATGACTGCATTTGCCCACCATTCCTCTCTCCATCCATCTTCCCCATTTCCTTTCAGCATTGTTTTCTGCTGTGAGAAAACACTTGGCAAAAACGAGGTAATAAAGCTTTATTTTGGTTCATAGTTTCAGAGTTTTCAGTGTGTGGTTGCTTTGCCCCATCACTACGAGCCTGTGGTGAAGTACAATATCTTGGTAGAACAGGGTAGTGGAGCCAAGCAGCTCATTTTATGGTGGATAAGCTCATTTCACATCTAGGACGAGCTATAGCCCCCAAGAGCACATGCACATAGGCCTATTTTCTCCGACCAGAACTCACCTCTGAAAGCTTTTACTAACTCCCAATGGTGTATTTATATTATGAATCCATCAGTGGATTATACCTAGTGATCTAATCACCTTTAATTGGTTTGATCTACCAGCTGGTAACTAAGCCCTCAACACTTGAATTTTTGGGGTAATACTTCATATTCAAACTATAACATATGGGTAAAGATTTGCCTTTTTATAATATGTAAATCTAATCATTATAGGCTCCTTAATGAAAAATATTATGATTTACCTCATTGAATTGTCTTTTTGTTATTAAATATCAGTAGGAACACCGGAAGTGGAGGGCGTTTCCTGTTAGCTTGGCTTCCTCATCATGACGGCGCTCTTGTCAGTGGAGGGTGAGTTTGGAGGTGGTGCTGAGCTCCTGTTTGATGGAATAAAGAAGCATCAAGTCACCTTGCCTGGCCGGGAGGAGCCCGGGGACATCCGGTATCTCCTTGTCTGGATCAAGAAGAATCTGCTGAAAGAGCAGCCAGAGCTATTCATCCTGGGAGACAGCATGCAGCCAGGAATTCTGGTGCTGATGAACGCTGCTGACTGGGAACTTCTGGGGGAGCTGGACTACCAGCTACAGGACCAGGACAGCGTCCTCTTCATCTCCCCGCTGCTTGGTGGATGAGGGCCCCTCTCAGGTTGGGCACCCTTATGAGGGAAGAACCAAACCACACATCCCCTTGGGCCCCACTTCCAGGCTTCCCGTCCCCCTTCATTGCTTCTTTACTCCCTGGATCTCCTGATCTCCCTCTAGGCAGGGAACAGAGGCCAGGTGCTAAAATGAGCTCTTCTCTGCAGGGCACGCAGTTGGGCAGCTGGGGAACAGGCAACCCTGAGCCCAGAGGTCCTCTGGCAGCTGCGGTGGGGGAGGGCACTCCTCTGGTGTGTTAGGAGTAGAGGGGGCCTTCTACCCAGGTGACTCAGCTGCCTTCCACTTTATGTCTTAATCGAAGTGCTGAGTGACTGCGGACAAGACACCCCTGCTCCTGGGCCATCTTCATAGGGAAGATGAATGGACTAGAATAACTGATAGAAGGCCCTACCCTTCTCAAAGATTGTAAGTCTTTGCCTCCGTTTCCTCATCTGGACAGCAGAGGGCCCTGCCTCTGGGGTTCCCTATTCAGTGTTGACCCTCTCCCCACACTCAGCGGATGCTCTCCCAGCCACACCCCTCCTCCTGCTCTCCTCCAGCCCTGGACCCTGACTGCTCCCCCCCCACCCCCGCCTCCCAAGCCAGATAGACTCCTGAGACCTTCTCCAGGCTGCCTACAACTGGGTGCAGAGCAGGAGGAAGTAGCCTAACTTTGGAGTGACCAATAGTAGCCCATGGGTTGATGTACCTCAATTTCCTCTTCCACAACAGCTGTTTATAGTCTCTGAAGCCTGGGGGAGGGACTTAACAGCATAAATGTAGATTTTATCTTCCCACTTCCTAAAGGAAGCAGGGTCAGAAAAAATAGTCCCTCCCTGAGGGCAAAGTGGTTTGCCCTTCCTTCCTCTATCTCTTCTGCAGATCTGGGGGGCCTCAGTGCCTGCAGCAGCTAGCCTTAGGCAAATAAAAGGCTAGAGTGTTTTAAAAAAAATCAGTAGGAGTAACATCAGCAAGATGGTAGTTAGGAAGCTTCAATAGCTTCCTAGTTTAGTATTCTCATATGAAAATGTTGAAATAATAGTACTACAGTTGAAAATACCTTTATGCTGATTCCAGAGCCAACTGGAAAGGTAATAATCCTGGTAAACACATAGACAAGAAAAAATACCACTAAAATAAAGTTTGTGATACTTTACGTTCCCTATCGTTTCTCCCTACTCAGTGAGGTGCAGCAGTATCTGGAAGAAAACTCCGAAGTCCTGGGATTAAAGAGTGGTAATGCAAGCCGGGAGCCTGTAATCCTAGCTACCCTAGAGGCTGAGAGCTGAGGATCCTGGTTCAAAGCCAGCCTGGGCAAGAAAGTCCGTGAGACTCCTCTCCAATTAACCAACAGAAAACCGGAAGTGGTGCTGTGGTTCAAGTGGTAGAGTGCTCACTGTGAGCTGAAGAGCTCAGGGATAGTGCCCAGGCCCAGAGTTCAAGACCTACGACCAACATCCACAAACATAGTTTAAGTATTGGCTGCCATACTGAAAATAGACTTAAGAACTGCAGCAGGTCAATAGCAGGGAATCCGTATTTCCACCAATAGGCATCAGCAAGTAAGAGTGAAAAAAATACAATAGGAATTGAAATCTGAACATTCTCAAGCAAAAGTAAGAACAAGCCTCTTGGGAATATTAAGAGAGCCAGAAACTATCATGCATTTTGGAATTAAAACATCTTCAAAAATCCCAGAGAAGATGTAAGTTCAGAAAATGTTTGAGAGTTCACATGGCCTCTTCGAGAGCCAAGATAATGGGTGAATGAATATTTTCTCTTGCACTGACTCAGTCCATAAAGACTGAGAGAAGTGGTTGTTTTTCAAATGTCCCAATCTTAATAAAAGAACATAAAGCTATGCACAAAGAAACAGCTCATTCAGAGAAGCAGTCCATCTACAGAAATTGACCCCAAAGATGTGCAGCTGTCCAAATTACCTGACAGAAAGTTTAATACAATTGTCAATTGTTTTAAAGATTCTCAGTTTGATAAAAAAAAGAACACAAATAAATGAAGTTAGAATAAGGATATATGGACAGACTGAGAATATTTAAAAAGAGATTAAAATGTTTTTAAAGAGAGCTAAAATATATAATAACTGAATTAAAAACTCACTAGAAAGATTCAATACCAGATGTAGTCAAGCAAAAGAAAGATCAGTAAACTTGAGATTATCAGATCAGAAGATTAAAATAAGAAAGAAGGAAAGTGAAGAGAGCCTACAGGATTTATGGGACATCATCAAATGGATGTTTAGGCATTCTGGGAGTTTTAGAAGGAGAAGGGAGATAGAGAGGAAAAGAAGAACTTACTTGAAAAATAGTGGCTGAAAATTTCACAATTTGAGGGAATAAAGAGGCAACAAAATCCAACTAGGAGAAAAAAACTAAAAAAGACCTTCACAGGGACATTCTAAACAAATTGTCAAAATTAGAAACACAAAGAGATAATCTTGAAAACAGTGTGAGAAAAATAGCTCATAGCATAGCAAGAAGAGTCTGTGAGCTTATCAGTGAATGCCTCAGTAGAAATGGGCCAGAAAGTGGATGGACCAGAAAGTAGTGGGATGATATATTCAAACTGATAACAAGATAATCAGCAGGTCAAAATTGCCCATCATAAAGGGAGAAATTAAGACTTCTCTCCATAAACAAAAGCTGAAGTTGCCCTACATTGCCATATGAAAATGTAAAGTTCTCCAGCCAAGAAAAAATATATGAACAAGTAGAGAAATCTGTATCATTGTAATTTTTGTGCATAAGTATACTTTTAGTACTTGTTTAGAATTGAAAGAAAAAGCATAAAAAACAACTATTCATATGTAATAAATTGGAAATAGAAGGAAATCACGTCTATATCATAAAGTCATGCATGAAAAATCCACAAAAAATATAAGTAAAAAAGCTTTTCCACACAGCTGGGCACTGGTGGCTCACACCTGTAATCCTCGCCTCTCAGGAGGCTGAGATCTAGGGATCACAATTTGAAGGCAGCCTAGGCAGACTGTTATCTCCAATTAATTGCAGAAAAAGCTGGAAGTGGCACTGGGGCTCAAATGATAGAGCTTTTCCTTTAAGATTAGAAACAAATCAAAATGCTCATTTTAGTAATTCCTACTCAGCACAGGACTAGAAATTCTAACAGGAGTAATAAGCAAGAAAATGAAACAAAAATCTACCCTGGGAAAAAAGAAGCAAAATTATTTCTGTTTGAAGATAATATAATCTTACGTGTATACAACTTAGATTCCACAAAACCTTGCTAAACTAGTAAATTCAGTCAAGTAGAAAGATGAAAAGCTACTACACAAAATCAGTTGCATTTCTATACACTAACAATGAACAATATGAAAAGGAAATTAAAAGAGGGGTTGGGATGGGGGTGGGGGGGAGACGGGAAGGAATGGGAAGGGGAAACAAAAGAGGAGGCGACAATGCTTGATAAGAAATGTACTCAATATCTTGCCCATGTAATTGTAACCCCTCTGTATGGTATTTTCACAATAAAAAAAAAGTAAATCTAGCCAGAGGCCAGTGATCTACCCCTGTAATTCTAGCTGCTCAGGAAACTGAGATCTGAGGATCAAGGTTCATAGCCAGCCCAAGAAGAAAAGTTCTTGACTCTTACCACCACTTAACTGGAAAGAAAAGTCAGAAGTGAAGATGTGGCTCAAGTGGTAGCATCCAGTCTTAAGCAAAAAAAGCTGAAGTACAGCTCCCAGGTTCCAAGTTCAAGTAGTGCCAGTACCAGCATACACACACACACACACACACACACACACACACACACACACACACACACACACACTATATATATATATATATATATATATATATAAAAATAAAAAGTAATTCTACTTACCACAATGTAAGAATACAATAGTAGAAATTCAAAGAAGGTAAATAAAAACTACAAAATACAATAAAAACTTCAAAATATTGAAAAAAATTTAATACCAAATTTACAGAAATATATCCTGCATTCAGTACTATCCCCTAAGAAGTCAATCTTTATCAAAATTTCAAAACAGTTTTTACAAAATAGAATAACTCATTCTGAAAATAGAGCTGTGACTCAGGTGTTAAAACACTAGCCTTGAACACAAAAGCTCAGGGACAATGGGCATGTCCTGAGTTCAAACGAAAGAAGGAAGAGAAAAAGAAAAAAGAAAGAAAAAAACCATAAATTCTAAAACTCACAGAGAATGTCAATGGATTCTAAATAAAGCAATCTTGATAAAACACCAGCTTGTTATAATTTAGATCTGGGATGTCCCATAAGTTTATGTATTCAAGGCCTGGTTCCCAGACAGTGGTACCATGGAGAGATAGTAGAAACATTAGCAGGTATGTCCTAATTGGAGGAAGTAGGTCACTAGGGATGTGTCTTTGAAGGGTATTTTGGGGTTCTGGCCCTTTCTTCTCTCTTAGCTTCCTGTTTTCCACGAGAAGCCTCTTTGCTCCATGTGTTCCCTGCCATAATGTGCTATTTCGTCATGAACCGAGTGACAATGAACAGAACTGACCCAAACTAAACCTTTTGTCCTTTAATGTTGTTTATCTCAGGTGTTTTGTCCCAGCAATGTAAAGCTAATTAACACTCAGTTGGAGAGCTTACACTTTCTGATTTCAAGTCTTATTATAAGAGTAGAGTAATAAAAAGTGTAATATGGCATAAAGACTCCAATGGAGTAAAACAGAAAACTGAGAAATAAAGCCTCATATGTATGGTTAAGTGACTTATGTTTAATAGAAAAAGGATCATCATTTCAATAAATGGTGCTAAGAAAATGGGGTGGCCATATGCAAAAGGATGAAATTGGACCCTTGCCTAAAATTATTTACAAAACTAGTCTAATGAATAAAATACATAAATATATAAAAGTATAAACCCTTAGAAGAATATATGGGAACAGAACCTTATGACATTGAATTCATCATTGATTTCTTGGCTACAATACTTAAAGGCAACAAAAGAAAAAAATAGGCAAATTAAATTTCATGAA